AGATAGATAGATGATAGATAGATAGATCTTGTCTATTCCATAGTAAACAGGTAGAGAAACAGATAGAGAGTACAGTTGAAAGTTTTGAAAAATACTTTCAATCTGTGTTTGGCTGATTGTACAGCCATAGGTATTAGAAGTTATACTATAATTTCCTTTTATTTTCTTTCTTCTTTTTTCTTTCTTCTTTTTTCTCTTATAGTGCTAGCGATCAAACTCAGAGCCTTGCACCCACTAGACAAGCACTCTATTTCTGAGCTAAACCCCAACTCACTATGAAATTTATTCCTTACAGTTCTGGGAGCCGAAAGCCTGAAGTCAGGATGACAGCTGCTTGGGTCCTACTGCAGGTCCTTCCCCAGTCGCAGACACCAGCCTCTTGTACCCTCACATGGCAGCGAGAGTGAGCTGATTTTCTGGGGTTCTGTTTAAAAGGGTACTAATCCCTTTCAGGAGGGCTCCACCATGATGTCCCCATTGTCTCCCCAATGCCCACCTTCAGATGCCATCAGCTTGGGGATTCGGACTTTATCCTATACACTGGGGGGTATCAGAGACGCAGCCCACGACAGTTCATTACGGCCGATCCCCTCGGAGTCCTGAGATAAATGGGCTTCCTATCATTCGCAGTCTGCAGCTCTAATTGTATCTCTGGGGCTTTAAGGAGGAACAGTAGTCATTTCTAGTGAAAAAAGCTAGAAGGTGTGTGAATGGAAGAATGGCTTCCTTGAGCACCTTTAGACTAGGACCTTCCCTGGGCTACTCGTCAAGGATGTGGGGCACAGCCTCTCCCTCGCCTGAAGTGAACTGCCCAAGACCTTGTCTATTCCCTAGTAAAGAGGTCTTCTCTTTCTATGAAGGGTTGCTTTTTTTGATTCACCAACTCCTGTTGGTGAGATATTGAGGTTCTGGTTTTCCTCAGATCTCCTTCTTAATAAAGCACCAAGGCCAATGCTAAGAGCTCTCGAGAGCCCACACCATCCTCCTCAAAGAGCTCTAGTTGGTGCTGTCTTCTGGAGGCATAATGTCCTTCCTTCCCTCTTCCTCCATAGCTGTGCGTTTTTATGTGCATGTCTTAGATGTTATATAAAATAGAATGTTAAATTCTGGCTCTCTTCTGTAATTTGAAGCAGAGACAGCACCTATTAGTTTTGGAAAAGGATCAGTGGAGAATATATTGGCAAAAGCACTTTGCAGTTGCCTACTGTCACTGAGTTGAAGGATTTCCAATTGGAATCACTGCTTGGGGGAGCTCTTTTGACCTAAATTTCTTGGAATAAAATGGTAAGTATATATAGTTTATGGTGAGTTTTGTCTTTTTAGGTGACCAATGGATAAAATTATATGAG